GGTGGCAATGGTAATAGTCTATCTCCCGAATCTGTGTCCAGGAGAAGGAAAAAGAGAACCAGTATAGAAACTAACATCAGAGTGGCCCTGGAAAAAAGCTTTCAACAGAATCCCAAACCATCCTCGGAGGAAATCACTTCTGTTGCAGACACACTAAATATGGAAAAAGAGGTTGTACGAGTGTGGTTTTGTAATAGAAGACAAAAACAGAAGAGGATTAATCCTCCATCAAACTACAATCCTCAGTTGTCTTCCCCTCTTTCTCCACCAATCACACCTGTTCAAGTGATGGCCACACCCACAAATCAATTAACCACACCCACCTCTCAAGCCACCATGACGCTTCCAACAATCATCAGTACTTCGACAGGCGCCACTCTTGTGGCTGCATCCACGCCCTCTTCAGTGCCAGGAACTAATCAGAACTTTATTATGGCCAAAATCACACCTGCTTCTACCTCGGGATCCAATCAGGTCATTTTGACACAAGCATTACCAACTACAGTATCTACCGCCCAGGGAATTTCTTTACAACCTACACAACAAATTATTCCCCCTCAGAAAATAGAATTCACCACTTCATAAGGATTCTTAAATTGGAGATGTATTTTTTAGAATATTTTGTAAAACATTCCAAAAAATTAAAGAAGGAAAAACCAAATAGAACTGAAATATATTTTTTATGAAAAAGACTTTTTAGTTTATTTTTACTTGATGCATTTGATGTAAATAATTATAAAAAATGCCAAAGAACCTGAAATGTGGGCATGTACTTTATGTAAATACATTTATATGTTTTGAAATAGATTTTGTCTTCCAGTTTGTGATTTCACCCACTTAAAAGGGTGTGTTATCTGCTGGACATTATTCAATTCTTTAGTAGGTAGTGAAATGCATTTTGTATCAAAACTTCGCTAGAACTGTCCTCAAGTTGACTGTTACAAATATATACCATTGATCTCACTATATCACTATTAAGGCATAAAACTACTGAAGTAATTTGTCAGTTAGCTCTCATCTTTCTTATGCTGACCTTGTTTTGAATGGCATATTATATATGGTCTAGATGTTGATCGATCTGATTTAAAATCAAATTGGTTCAAATGCAGAACATGGATTCTATTTATGTATAAGCTTTTATTTTTGTTATTTTGTATACTTCAACTTTTCTACAAAAGAAATGACATTTAAACGAATTTGATTGATGAAAATATTTTTCATTTCAGTTAAAAGATGGCATTTCTTTGAACTGATTTCCTATATTTGTTATGTAAAATGGAAATGATGACTATAGATTAAATAAACTAGTATACAATTGATAGAATGGGGTTATCAAATTTCCACTATACACATACAATCTCTTCAGAGATTTTGGGCCAACCCATATTTTACTATCCAGCTTGTAAATATCAGGGAAGACAAATGTTGAATTTTACACTTTTCTCCATCACTATGAGTTACACTTCTAACACGATTGTGTTGTACTCAATATTGTGTTAATAACAATTGATCTAGGTAGTATCATTGATGGATTCCATGAAGTGAATGGGAAAGCGTAAATGTTTCTACACTTGTTGTGTTATAACTTTGTATATTGTCTTATATTTTATCGACTTATCAATATATAAAGTGTTATACCTCCTTATTTATGTTCATATTTTAAATTGTTTTAAGATATCTTAACATAATAGAATGCAACTTCTTTTATTCAACAGATTTTATTGCTTTAAGTTTTATCGACTGAAATAATATATTGATTTTCAGATATTGATTAAAACAAGACATTTAATCATATCGATATAATATTGTTGATATGATTAAATAAAGAAATAGTTATATCAATTTTAATTTATGAATATTTGCGATAAAAAAGTCAGAATAAAGTGTCTTTGAATTATTTTGGCGGGGGCGGGAATTCCAATGAACCTTCACTTCACTCGGAATTCAGTGAAAGCTTATGTATCATGTCAGCATGTACGATTAAAGGCTGAATCAAATTAAATAGTATATTGAAAAGGGGAGATAGAGACACATGAAAAGTTAGGGGGCTAATGCACCGATCACCACTTTTGAAGAGGGGGAGACAAGAGTATCTTTGTGCCCCTCATCCATAAAAAAAAAAACCCCAAAAACTGAGTACAACAGAGATCCACTGATATGTCCCCAAATTTAAGAAAATTCTCGCAGTTAGATTATTAAATCCCTTGGGGTGTTTTTCTTGTTATAAATTTATTTTGGCTGACACTACACTTTTCTTCTTTAAACTTTGTGACTAAGCTTATACAGATTGGCTGAAATCACAAATTATTTTATATTATTTACATCAATAAGAAGTTAGATCTGGTGTTATTATATTTTTATGCAAGGGGGGGGGGGGGGGAGGTTTCAAGACTGTGGAGGTTCGCATTCATGAGTCAGATCCTATTTATACCACAGAGTGGAACAACATCAAATATTTACAAAGTACATATATAAACAGTGTTACATTTCTAATAGTGTTAGGTACTTTCTATTTTCGCTTCATTTACAATCCCCACTGAACCCCCATCAAGAGATATAAGCAGTGAACCATGATAGAATATATCAGATTCCCTCTTCAAAATGATGGGTACAATAATTTCCTATGACAATGCATATAATTTAGCTATTAATGTCTCTCCATCTCAATTTTTTCAAATATTTTTTAATTTTGTTTCAGCCTTTAATCGTACACGATAGCAAATACATGGTACATAAGCTTCCCAAATGAAGTGAAGATTAATTAGAATTCCCGCTCCCGCCAAGTTAATTCAAAACCTTTTTCTGACTTCTCGAAAATATTCATATATCTATATCGATATAACTTCATATTTATTTCTTCATATCGATGATACTGTATTGACATGAGTAAATATTTTGTTTAAATCGATATTTGAAAATTAATATAATATTTCAGTCGATAAAAGTTAAAGCAATAAAATCTATTGAACAAAAGAAGTTGCCTTCAATAATGTAAATACACCTCAATACAATTCAAAATATGGGTATAAATAAGGAGGTATAACACTTTATACATGTTGGGGGAAAACGTAAATTCCGCTATAATAGTGGTATATCACTATTATAGTGAAATTCCGCTATATTTTCTGCCGTATTTACCCTCGATATCATCAAATAACATGCTTGCTGTTTAAACCGCAACTCATGATGGGTATCAAAATGGACACTAATTGTCATCCTTACATATTATGAATTTTATTTAATTTTCTGCCGATGCATTTAATAATGCGAACACACTTTGTAAAACGGAAGTTACATTTTTAACATAGCATCCAGCGATTGTGGCAGTATTCGAGAAAGACTGAATTCCAATTTTTCTCACACATGTGCAGAAATTAATGTTTGTAATATTTTTCAATCTGCATTGAAAGAGGTTTGTTAAATTTACAGTAGAAAGGACAATCTTTATCTGCATGGTTACGGGTATGGAAGCCCATTGGAACAAATGCTAAAAAGCTTATTTTAAAATACAGCATAATAATGAAGACATGCAACATATTTATGTTAACATGCAAGTTAATTATGTTGACATGCAAGTTACCAAATCTTATAAGAAAATATAATTTAAATATGGGTAAATTTACTTAATGCCGCCTGTATTTGATATTTTAGATGCAATATGCAACATAATTATGTAGACATGCGACTTATTTATGTCAACATGCAAGATAATAATGTCAACATGCAACTTATTTATGTCAACATACAAGATAATTATGTTAACATGCAAGATATATGTATGTTGATATGCAAGTTATTATCTTGCATGTTGACATAAATAAGTTGCATGTCAACATAAATACCCTGCATGTCTACATAATATCTCGCATGTTAACATAAGTATCTTGCATCTTGACATAAATAAGTTGCATGTTTACATAATTAACTCGTATGTTGACATAGATATTTTGCATGTCAGCATAATTATCTCGCATGTTAACATAAGTAAATCGCATATTCTCATAATAATGTTGTATCTTGCATCTACGTTGTCAGACACGGGCGTCGATACGGGGTTTTATCCATACTTAAATCAGATTCCCTTAAAGATTTGTAACTTGCAATTCAACATAATTATCCGTGCAAGTAAATAGTGAGTCCAGACAATATAAAGATTAAATGTCTGGCGGTACCGTAATAATACGATGAGAGAAACTCACTCCTTAAAGGCGTCCGCTATTCATTGTTAACTCTCAGCTGGTTTCCTGTTCAAGGACGCTAAAGAAGCTGATGTCTATCAAAATTCATCTAAAGAATTCGAGTCGTTGTTGCAAAACTACATTTGAATTTTCGACACATTTTTGAATCGAAATAAGAGAACGGCTGTTTATCAGCACTGGGTCCAATTGGGTTTAAAATGACATTAAATATGATAAGATTTGCCACCAATTCTGTATGCGTGTAAGTCAAAGGGACATAATTATTAAGTGGAGTTATCTAACTTGAGTAAGAAGTGACTTCAATTATGCAAATTTGAAAACCTTTTGTTGAGGCGAAGTCAAAATTTGTATAAAAGGACATCATTGAAGGTAGGTGGTGGGCAAATTCCTCCGCTGTACAAGAAGAGATCTTGTGCTACGTTGAGGGAAAGATCTGAATTGCAATGCAAATGGCCCTCTTAGGTTGTACTGCAAGGCCTTGCAATGCTCCCAAATGGAAGTTCTCTTGGAATTTCCTCCCATCAGCCTTTCACTACACAATGATAAAGTCAACGATGTATATTGTTGGTTTTCATTACACGTTGCATTCTGGTCCTGCAAATCAGTTTTGGACAAAAGCAACAACTGCAAAACATTGCAAATAAAGAAATAAACCTCAAATTTTAAATGCAATCGGCATTGTTTGTCAACTTTATCAAAATCAGTTTTCCATAACCTATACATGATGATGTTTTTTTGAAAGTATTCTGAGTGATGCTGGTTGATTCCTGGTTTGCAAATGACCTATCTAACACAAACCGTCAAATATTGCGAAAAGATGAAGAAAACATTATGATCTGGTAATATGTTGGATGCATTGTTCATAAAAATTATGCACTGTTTTTACTTCCAATATTGACAAAAACAGTTTACGCAAATTGGAGAGGCTTGGTATTTACGGAAGCGTAAATGGCTCTACACTTGTTGTGTTATAACTTTGTATATTGTCTTATATTTTATCGACTTATCAACATATAAAGTGTTATTCTTCCTTATTTATGTACATATTTTAAATTGTTTTAAGATTTCTTAACATAATAGAGGGCAACTTCTTTTGTTCAATAGATTTTAATGCTTTAAGTTTTATCGACTGAAATAATATATTGATTTTCAGATATTGATTAAAACAAGATATTTAATCATATCGATATAATATTGTTGATATGATTAAATAAAGATATAGTCATATCAATTTTGATGTATGAATATTTGCGATAAAACAAGAAGTCAGAATAAAGTGTTTTTGGATTATTTTGGCGGGGGCGGGAATTCCAATGAACCTTCACTTCACTCGGGATTCAGTGAAAGCTTATGTATCATGTCAGCATGTACGATTAAAGGCTGAATCAAATTAAAAAGTATATTAAAAAAGGGAGATGGAGACAAATTGAAAGTTATAGATCCATAGTGGGCTATTGCACCGATCACCACTTTTGAAGAGGGGGAGACAAGAGTATCTTTGTGCCCCTCATCCAGCTAGACCCCCCCCCCAAAAAAAAAAAAAAAAAAAAAAAAACAAAAGAAAAAAACAAAAAAAAAAACACAAAAAAACTGAGTACAGCAGAGATCCACTGATATGTCCCCAAATTTAAGAAAATTCTCGCAGTTAGATGATTAAATCCCTTGGGTGTTTTTCTTGTTATAAATTTATTTTGGCTGACACTACACTTTCCTCCTTTAAACTTTGTGACTAAGCTTATAAAGATTGGCTGAAAGCACACATTTTTTATATATATTATTTTAAGCAATAAGAAGTTAAATCTGTCGTTTATATTTTTATGCAGGGGAGGTTTCAAGACTGTGGAGGTTCGCATT